CTACAAGTGTAATAATTTTTTGGTAATACAGAGATTTCTTTCCTTAAAATCATATACGTTGTTACATATATACATGAGCGAGTCGAACAAGTTGAGATATAATAAACACCATAAGATGGTGACAAGGGAACGTCACCATCTAGAAATCGATAATTAACAATAGGAAATGAAAAATGATCTCTTTTATCATAAATTTTGGTATTAAGCTTCCTGTTAAAGATATATAGATATCAAGATCCAGGGAAGGGCAGTGTTCATTGTTAGTATTAGCTTTATTTAAAGTCAGTTCAGCAGGATAAATCTCTTAAGTGTACATACTGAAGTCGTCATTTTTGAGAGCCAATATATCACTGATATATCATCCAAATATCTAAAAGTGTTATTAAATTTTTGTATCAGATGTTGTTTTGATTGGTCTTTGCTGATTTTAATCATAAATTGTAACTCATAACAATACAAAAACAGTTCCGCAATAAGTGGTGCACAGTTAGTTCCCATTGGAATTCTGATAACTTGACGAAATACGGAATCTTCATAGGGAACAAAAATGTTATCTACATGTAGGAAAAATTTTAAGGGCAGTTATTGTATCAATGCAGGTCCAATTGACATAGTTTTTTGGTGTGTTGTTACTAAATAATGACCTAAAAGAGTTTGAACATATATATTTGCATTCTGACTTTTTAAATGCCCATTTTATTAGGTGTGTGAATTTTTTCTTAATAAGATTATGAGGCAAAGTGGTATATAGGGTAGAAAAATTAAAACTTTGAACAGATTTGAAATCACCAATATATTAAGCATGCAATTTATCAAGTACTTCCAACGAATTTTTGACACTCAAAAAGTAATTAATTCCACTATTTTCAAAGGCCTTATATATTTGAACAATTTATTACCAGGTTTTTGTGTTGCCTTGACGGAGTCAAAAAGCGAGACATAGGTATGCTGTTTTTAGGCGACGGCGGCGGCGTCAACAATGTACTAGTTTGTGATTAGGTCTAGTTCATGGTGAACCACTAGTGGTAGGTCAATGATATTTGGTATGCAGTTGTATAAGCATTGGCACATCTCATTACCATGGAGATTATTTGGTCCCGCCCCCTCAGTCAAGGTCTATTGACTTTGAAACTTTGCTTAGTTTACATGTATTAGTTTGTGATTAGGTCAGTTTATAGGGAACCACTAGTGATAGCTCAATGATATTTGGTATGCAGTTGTATAAGCATTGGCATATCTCATTTCCATGGAGATTATTTGGCCCCGCCCCCTCATTCATGGTCTGTTGACTTTGAAACTTTTGCTTAGTTTTCATGTATTAGTTTAAGATGAACCACTAAATAAATGTAAAGTCAATGATATTTGGTATGCAAATGTATTGGCATTTGCAAGTTTCATTTCCATGGAGATTATATAACCCCACCCCCTAATTATGGTTCATTGACTTTGAAACTTTTACATAGTTTACAAGTTAATGTTTGTGTTTAGGTTTGTTTGAAGGGAACGACAAACGAAAAGACAATAGTATTTGGTTTGCAGTTGTATTAATATTGGCACATCTCATTTCCATGGAGATTGTTTAGCCCTGTACCTTCAGTCATGGTTCATTGACTTTGAATATTTGCATAACTTACATGTTAAAGTATTGCTATTTTAATTTCAACATTTGCATTATCAAAATAACAAATAGGCGAGACATATCTCTGTGTTAACAGTTTATTGGTTGTACCAAGTGTACTAGTAAGTAGAATAGACAGTTTATTAGCAGAACAATGGCTTGAAGTCGAAATAAATCTATATTTGTAAGGTGTTTTGTGCAGCTTCTGAAGCCAGTACATAGTTGGAACTTTCATTGTATTTGGTTCTGCTTGTAAAGAGGTAGCTAAAAGTTTATGCTTCTTACAGATGTCATTTTCCAAAAATGGAGTCAGTTGGAATGTTGGTGAATTCGTGATTTCCTTTTGCATGTTTTGCAGAACCTCAATGTAAAATTACATCAAACAATGATGATCATGTCTTCTTAATATCCAGTATAAAATATATTATGCATATTCAGGATTAAAATTTTTTTTAATTCAAACGGTAGACATGGTAGAGACGCCTCAGTTGCAAAATTATCGACTTGGAAAAAACCCAACAAAATACAAAGCAAAACAGAAACTGTATACATTTCACAGTAGACTAATATGGTAAGGATAACATTTATAGAATAACTAATCGTAGAATTCAAATAGAGAAAAAAATATTCAACGAGTGACCGAACAACACATTTATTCACGAATGCGCGTAGCGCATGAGTTAATTATCTGTTGTTCGGTCACGAGTTGAATATTTTTCGATATTTGAATTCTTTGATTAGTTATTCTTTTTATTACATTGGCAAATGGCTTTTTTTAATGAAATTAATGTAGAAAATGTAAGGAACTATATCTTTTTTCTACGCATTCACAATTTGTTTTGATCCAACGTTATCGACGTCTTGACAACGCCTATTGTTGTATGAAGTCAGAGAGTGAAATAACCACGTTTATTTCACATGTGAAATTATCGGTTTTTATTTGACTGGGAAATCAATGTAATTCAATGCTACCAATGTAATAAATATGTTTAATAAATTTGAAAAAAGAAGTAGAGTATAGAGAGTGGCAATAAACCTAGCAAGAAGAAACTATAGACAGTCTATAAACATATATATGTCAGTCAAGGGTCTAACTTAAATAAGTTATTAGAGAAAAATAACATACATTTGTTATTGAGGGCTAAAAAATCAAAAATCTGTAATAACATATGTATGTTACATGTTTCAAAGGGGCATTATACATCCTTAATTTTGTTAAATTGTGTACTAGTTCTATTGATATTATAATTGTCTTTATGTATATTAAACTTTAGAAAGATATAACAGCCCATAGTTTGCCAATAATGCATAACACACCCATGTTATCACAGAAAAAATATGCCTGTAATAACTAAAGGGTGTTATTACAGCTTCTCTACATCTCTTCAAAGCCTTTTCTCCTACATATATCACAATGTATTTTAATGTATTGCAATAAATAATGATAAGAGCATGTAATGAGGTTCTGCGCAAGCTTCCTAGTCATTCCCAAGTGTCTCATGTAATAAGTTAAATGTCTGTAATAACTAAGCCTTGTTATTACAGCTAAGTTATCACTTAAAAGCCTTGTCTCATTGATTTACCATGGTTGATCAAAAATGTATTAATTGAATTGGAAAATTAGTTTTCAAGGTTATGTATTAAGGTACTGCGCAAGTTTCAAGAATTCCCAAGTGCCCACTGAAAATAAAAAAAATTATGGTACATTTAACTGATAACAAACATATGTTACTACAGATTAAGAGAAAGTATCTGTAATAACACATGTATGTTATTTTTCTCTAATAACTTATTCAAGTTACACCCTTGACTGTATGTTAAAACAAGTCTCACCATCACTTAAGCTTATCATTAGACATGTTAGAGGGTGAAAGTTAATAAAACCCAGTTCAAAAACAGTACTGCACAGATTCAGGAAACATTCTAGGTTTTCAAGACAATCCAACCCAAAATTTTTTAAAAGTTTTTACTCGCTTTAAATATATAACAATTCAGTTGCGGATCCAGGGGGGGTTCCGGGGGTTGGAACCCCTCCTTTTTTTTTGACAATCAATGCATTTGAATGGGGACATATAGTTGGAACCCCCCCTTTTAAAAATGGCTGGATCCGCCCCTGCACTTTTTCCAATCTAATTAATATTAGTTCTCTACACTTTCTCCTCTTTTTCCCCTTGGTCGTTTATATGTTGTGTGTGGAGATATAGACAATGAAATGAAAAATGCAGAGCAAACCTTTTTTATACCCCCACCTTAGGTGACAGGGATTACCCTTGACCGTCTGTCCTTCCGTCCATCCAATTTTCAAAGCTTGAGAAGGGGGCATTCATGTCCACAGACACATTGTTCTTCTATTTTTAATTTTCCTTTGATGACATGTTGCCATAATATCATGCAGTATTAGCAGAAACCTTTATTTTGTCTGTTTTGGATGATTTTTTTTCATGGAGTTCCTTAAATACAAGAGCCTTCAGTTATATGTGTGGACTTTTTTGCGCAAATGTTATGGTTTTAGAGATAAAAGAAGTCTAAGGGGCTAAAAATCACACTTTTTCATGGTGTGTACAATTTTATTGTTTCATTTGATTTGCATTAGACTTTTTTCATCGAGTTCATTCTCACAAGAGCTACTGTTTTGAATACTTTGTCCGCATTCACTTTTACCTTGACCTTGTAGACATGTTACGGTCTTCATATTTTATGAAGCTTTGACCAGAATAGCGGTTTATATTATAAAGAAATATTATGTTTCCTAAAATTTTCCATATTTTTATACGCCTGTTTACGGGACGTATTATGGTATGCCGTTGTCCGTCTGTCAGTCCATCCTCCTGTCCGTCCATCGTCAACATGTCGGGCAATAACACTTTAACCAATTTGCATGAAACTTTGGTGAATTGTTTATATCTATTGACGTGAGCTCCCTTTCGTTTTTTATAAATTTTAGATTTAACATGTCCGAGTTATGGGGTTTTATTCATTAAAAAAAGGGCGATTTTCCAGTTTTCGGACAAAAACTCAAAAACGCTTTCAGCTGTTTTCATGAAACCTTAGTGAATTGTTTATATCTATTGATGTAAGCTCCCTTTCGATTATTATAAATTTCAGATTTTACGTTTCCGAGTTATGGGATTTTATTCATAAAAAAGGGGTGATTTTCCAGTTTTCCGACAATATCTTTTAAGCGCTTTGAGGAGTTTTCTTGAAACTTTGGTGGCTGGTTTATATCTATTAAGATAACCTCCCTTTAGTTTTTCATAAATACCTGATATGACATTTAGAAGTTATTGAACTTTATTCTTTAAAAAGCGACGGGCGTATCATGCGCTCATGGTGCAGCTGTTTATTTTAAAAGTGGTAAAAAATTTATTTCAATATTTTTTAGCCTAACATCACAGAGCCATGTGTGGTACTTTCAACATATCAGAATGCTGCATCTCATATCGAAATAATTGGTGAAGAAAATGCAGGTTGTCCAGTCTCTATTCATTTCTACTCTAGAAATCCACAAGATGTATATCAAAAGAACGGAGACAGAGATTCCTATACTATCAATAATATGACATTCCCACTTTCAATTGTTGGCCAGGAAAATGAAATCATTCAAGAAATGAATTCAAAATTTCCACTGACAGGGAAACTGAAAGAAGTAATGGAGTTGACTGATGTGTATTTTGACTCCTTATGTAACCTGAGATGGTTTCCCAGAGCAAAAGCAAAAGATGGACATTGGAAAATAACCGCAGGTACACATTAAATGTAACTACACAAACGAAATTTTGTAAGATTGTGTAAAGGAGCCATTCAAGCAGAAAACTTCTTTAATGGCTAAAAAATTAAACTTTACTAGAAATTATAGTAGTGTTATGCTAAAAATTTAGTAGTTGTTTAACAGCACTTAGGCCCCCAAAAAATATTTGCTTGTTTCCTGCCTCAAAGATGAAAAAATAGGGTAGTTAGGTATGGAATTTATTTTGTTTTATTTTTTTTTAATTTAATCCTTTTTGCATGTTTTGATTTAAGATTCAGGTACATATCAGAACAGAGGATACTCAAAACCAATACCAAATTAAATGAGCATTACTAAACATTTTAGGAGAAAAGAAAACATATCCTTTGTTTTTTTATTATCATTATATTAACAGAGTTTGTTTCTCATGCTGTGTCATGTGTGTGGAGGCCATAGAAAGTTTCCCCATGCTTGATATGTATGCTCTTCTGTATTTTTAAAGTTATGGTTTATTTATACTTGAGATAACTTCTCTTATGTGTACCACATTATTCTCTCAATTTTAGGCCAGTTTGTGTACTAAAATTTTAATAAGACGCACACCAACTACTCTTGGTCCTCATTCCTATCCACGTTAAATTTTTCACTTCAAAACATTTTATGGAAGTGGGATCAATAAACCTGTTTATACATCAGACCCAGGCACTTCCTATCTGTGAAACAGGCAATATACATGTATGCCCTCAATTTTAGAATTCATTCATAACTTATTGTATTATTCAAAATTATCTGTAAATTATGTGTTCTATAAGGATCACCTGTCCTTCACCTTTCATCTGATACCTTAATTACTAATATTTATGCTACATAGTTTTAGATTTACACCTATGCGTAGGAATTATTTTGTTTTTTATATGCAGATATGTACTACTTTCTAGTATGTTCTTTTTTGACAGGGCCTGATTAGGTTGCGTTACATCTTGCAAAGTCTATCCAAATTTATATTTGCAAAGAATTCCACTCAAGCTAGTGCTAGGGGTCGTCTTAAACTTGCAGTGAGGTGAGAGTTTTTTTTTTTGCTCCGTGTTGAAGGCCTCACTGTGACTTTGAGATGAAGAACAGCAATCAGTTCCTTTGCTTATTGTGTGTTTTTTTGCTGTGCATGTACTGATTTTGTGTCATGGATGGATACCCCATATCCTTTGTTTTTCTATTAGACACGTAATTTTGTTTGGTAATTGTCTGATTGATAGTTGGTTGCTTAATGTGCAGTGGCAATTTTGTCTGATTGACAGTTAGTTTATATTTAAAAGAAACAGTAGAAACCAGATAAGATGACTGATTCTGACAACTTTTCGGCAAATGTGCCGACAAAAAATAAAGTTGGAGGGTCAGAGACACAGACGGTAGGGAGACAAGAAACAAGCATATATATTTATTTGGCCTGATGAAATTTTAACACAATGTTTCTTGTCACAATATACATTGCTGATATTGAATTTGGAAATTTTGGGCCTGACCATTTTTGAAAAAGTGGCAAAAAAAAGTGTATGCACTATTTTTATTGGGAGGCATTTTTTACAGCTGTTTACCTCATACATCTAAGTTTTTTATTTCAAGTCCATTTTATTCCTCATAAAAACAACTTTTTAGCTCACCTGGCCCGAAGGGCCAAGTGAGCTTTTCTCATCACTTGGCGTCCGCCGTCGTCGTCGTTAGCTTTTTACAAAAATCTTCTCCTCTGAAACCACTGGGCCAAATTTAACCAAACTTGGCCACAATCATCATTAGGGTATCTAGTTTAAAAAATGTGTCCGATGACCCCCCCAACCAACTAAGATGGCCGCCATGGCTAAAAATAGAACATAGGGGTAAAATGTAGATTTTGGCTTATATCTCTGAAACCAAAGCATTTAGAGTAAATCTGACAGGGGTAAAACTGATTATCAGGTCAAGATCTATCTGCCGTGAAATTTTCAGATAAATCTTACAACCTGTTGTTGGGTTGCTGCCCCTGAATTGATAATTTTAAGGAAATTTTGCAGTTTTTGGTTATTATCTTGAATATTATTATAGATAGAGATAAACTGTAAACAGCAATAATGTTCAGCAATGTAAGATCTACAAATAAGTTGTCATGACCAAAATTGTCAGTCGACCCCTTTAGGAGTTATTGCCCTTAATAGTCAATTTTTAATAATTTTTTGTAAATTTTTGTAATCTTTTACAGTTGTAGTTAATTTTTACACAAATCTTCATCTCTCAAACTAAAGGACCAAATTTAACACTACGTGGCCACAATCATCATTAGGGTATCTAGTTTTAAAATGACCTGGCCTACCAACCAACATGGCGGACATGGCTAAAAATAAAACATATGGGTAAAATGCAAGTTTTGTTTATTTTCTTCATAACCACTATCAATAGAGAAAATCGGACTGGGCAGAAATGTTCAAAATGATGAGATCTACCTATTGTCTGATTACATTAAAATGTCTGAAGACTTGTAATAGGAGTTATTGCCCTTGAATGATGCATTTTACAATTTATTCTTCATATTTTTTTACCTATTATCTTGAAATTATAACATGTATAATAGAGAGAAACTTTCAATAGCAAACATGATCAACAAGACAAGATCTACAAATTAATCAAACATTGATGAAATTGTCAGATGACTCTTTAATGGAGTTATGGCCCTTTAATTATGATTTTTATGATTTTTTGGTGTTTTTGACTCATATCTGAAAAACTATAATAGATAAATAGGGTCTTAAATAAGCAAAAATGATCAGTTAGATAAGATCTACAAATAATGGTTGAAATCATTTGAAGACCCCTTATTAGAGTTTTTACCCTTTAACATGTTTAATGTTTAATGACAATTTTTAACAATTCTCTGTGTTTTTGCTACAAATACATCTACTGGACGAAATCTTTTGTTCACTCCTTATTGGAGTTATTGCTCTTTAATGACCATTTTTACCCATTTTTTTATGTTCTGCCTCTTATCTTGAAAACTATTAAAGATAGATAGCCACTTTAAATAGCAAAAATGATCAGCAAGATTTACAAAAAGTCAAATTTTGCCGAAATCTTCGGTGGACTCTTTGTAGGAGTAGTTGCCCTTAAATGACAATTTTTATACTCTTTTTTTGTGGTTCGCATAAACAGAAAAAATGATCAGCAATATATAAGATCAACAAAAAAGATTTTTTTTTCATGAATTATACTCTAGTCCACAATGTTGGAGAGTGCCCATTGTTTAAGATCCTCTAGTTTGTGTTTTTTGCAGAAACTACATGTATAATAGATTATGTAAAATCATGAGAAGCAAATGTGTTCAGCAAAATAAGTTATACAAATAGGTCAATTTGGCCAAAATGTCAATTTACCTTTTATAGGAGTTATTGCCCTTGAAAGATGGTTTTGGTCATCGCCTGCGATGAAAGTTCAGGAATGCGAGACAGGTGTTTCTTCCTATCAGTACATATCAGTTTGACGACAGGTACCCCCTGTCCACCCCCTCACTATTTGTTGGATCTCCTTGCTAATTGTATTCTTTTTGAAAATGCATTGTTTCAATATACTGATTAAAGTAGCTTAACTTTGTTAAAAATATATATCATTTTGATATTAGATCTCCTTGCTAAATGTATTCTTTTTGAAAATGAATTGTTTCAATATACTGATTAAAGTAGCTTAACTTTGTTAAAAATATATATCATTTTGATATAAAGAAACAACTGGGACTAATTCATTGAGTACCATGAAACAATGAATTTCATAGACATGATAAAGGATAAGTTTTTTAAATGAAATTTTATTGCTATATGATACTTCCCTTTTTATATAAAAACCAGTTCTTTTTTTTTACTAGATATTAAGTATTGTATATATACAGTTTGCACTAAAATAAACCATTCATTCATTCATTCATTTAGTTGGGTAGGTAGGGTAACTGGAACCACACATATACTTTTATTTGGCCCAAGAGGAAAAAAATAATACTGTAACTATAAATGAATATAGAAAACATAAACTGAAACAACTGTTATCATGGTTATAGTTTGATTGTATTCTAAGTTATGATCTGAACAATATAAACATAACATAAAGGAAATAGAGCATTGCCACGATGTGACAAATGACATTGAAAAAAATACAGTTTATTTTTTTACGCCAAATGTGTTTCTATCCAAAATTTCTGGGGAGAACACTGTTTTTATTCCCTTCTCCTATGTCATGGTCAAGGTGACTGTCAAATGATTAGCAATTTCCAATGTTAAGTTTTCTGCTTAAGTTATAGTTTAATATGAACTATTTGTGTTAGATCAATTATATTTTGTATAAAGTTGCATTACTATCAGTACATATATCAGTTTGACAACTATTTTGAGGCCCTGCCCCCTAGGTCATGGTCCATTGACTTTGAATTGTTTACATCATAATTTTTTTAATATAAATAAACACAACACTCAATTTTTTTATGCATTTTTTATTGAAGCTTTTTAAGTTAGTATATAAAAGATCTTATTGATTGCTGTTGTTTGCTTAATGTCTAATGCATGTTCAGGAGAATAGGGGATCGACTGGGTTATATGCATGAAATTTGGAATGCCATTTGGGAAGGGGGTACACATGTATATTGAATAGGGACAGAAATTCAACCTTGCAAAAGGCCACCTATAGACCCCTCAAAGAAGGGTTGCAAGTGTTCTTCATGTACATAAAGCATGGCATTCTCTGCATAAGGTCCACATTATGACCAGATGTGGCTGCAAATGTCCAAACATATGCCGAAGTTTGGCAAGGTGTTTTTCCATGTTTACTGCTGGTAGGAAGATAAAGGAGTGACCATAAAATTATTTCTATACCTTAGTCAGCCCTTTATTTTGAGTAAATCAAAGAGGGTTTCTCTGGTTTATTATTATGCTGTATAACTATGTAAAGGAATAACCAAACTCATTTTGAAAACAAACTTGAATATTATTGTTTACTTTTTTCACATTGTGACTTGGATGGAGAGTTGTCTCATTGGCACTCATACCAAATCATCTTTTTTCTATTGACAATGCCATGACAAAAAACAAAAAGATTCTATCAAAATACAAACATGCACAGTCTACAAAACACAACATCGAAAGCTAAAGACTGTGCAACATGCATAGAAGCACCACCAAAAACTGAGGCTAAGGAGCTCCTGAGGGTAAGCAGATCCCGCTCCACACATGACACCCCTCATATTGTTTATGTAAGGACAAACAGGGTGTTATGTATAATTCAGTAAGTTACATTCCTGGAAAAGTTATAATTTAAGCTTAATTCTAGCTAATTTATACTTCAATATTTAATCAGTATGTTAAATTTAACTAGTTTCTGTAAATAGATAAACAAAAACAAGGTATATGTACATTGATCAAAGCCATATGTACATGTGAATCAAATATTCATTTGACATGTTTGTTTGATCCATGCACGTCTGGCGCAAATACAAAATTTCAACCCTGGTATCTATGATGAGTTTATTTAACTTGTATATCTAGATTTATATGAGTTAAATTTTCTTGAAAATACATTTGATTCCCATAATGTAGTTTTTGACACTAGACATGCTAGAGACATACTGCAAATTTGCTGCACATAAACAGGCAATCTTGCTGTCATATTTTTCATTAACCATCAGTATGCATGGTATGTTACTGAAGTGGTTAATGGTAGTACAATTCAATGAATCATAATTGACAGCTGAAGTCCATCACAATAGGAAACATCTATAATCGTATGTTTAAAGATTAAAATTTATGTCTATCACAGTGATTTGTAAAAGTATGTTTCATTCTGTTCTGAATTTTTAGTAAATTTTTTATTTTATTTAACTCTTATTTCCAGAGCCTGTTCAAATTCAGTTGCCAAAAGAAAACAGTGTACTTGACACAACAATTGGATGTCTTCTCCAAGAGATGATCACAAGCATCCAAACTGCTTACGTGAATAGAATGGGTAATCGTCAAGCTGTACAAGCTTGGAATAAAATGCTCTCTTTAATATGGCTACATCCTTTGGAAAGAGGAAAACGAAGACAGTGTATTGTAGGGGAATCAAGAAGCCTCTTGGACTTTTACAGCTGTAAATTAAAGAACGTGAAGAACTGTTTGCAACCAAATAAAGGTGGTAATCCAAATTTAAACAGTGAAATTGGCAGTGGCAGCTTTGATTCTAATGCCAAAGATTGTGAAAATGCAATGTCTAAGCAGTATACAGGGGCAGTTCATACGAGTGTGTATGAGAAAGGTGGAAGTTCACTGCCAACTATTAAATCTAAAAGTCCAGACTTAGTTATTTGTGATGAAGATGGGACAATGGTTCCAAAATGCATCGCTGTTGTAGAAATTAGATCAGAATTAGAAAAGTATCAGCAAGATAGAGCAGAACGACAGGTCGTTGAATACATGCTCTGTCATTTACGTTTCCAGTCTAAAATACTTGGTGTTCTTGTGTTGTCAACAGGTTTCAAGTTGTTCAAGGCAGTAAAGAATAGGAGTACAAAAAGAATAAGAATAATTCAGAGCCAATTTTCTATTGTGGATGATTCTAAGGAAGATAACTTTAGAACTGATATTTTCAAAAAATTCATTCATCACTTGGTTGCAGCTTGTGAAGACATTAGCAATGATATTAACATTTTGGAAGGAAAGTCTAGATCTATTTCTGTAAAATCGTGATATTGAGTGTAAAAGGCTGGAATAAAGAAAAAAAATGTAATTGTTTACACAGATAGTTTATATGCTTCATCAAGAAATGTTAGAAGGCCCTTGTTTGTCCATTCATTTACATGATATACATACAAACAAAATGTTTTTCCTTATTTATGTCCAGTTTGGTTATTTTTTATGCCTCGTCTGCCCCATTTTCGTTTCTGCACTCTTACTTGAGTTTTACTAATCTAAATTTTATGAAACTCATGCAAAATGCTTAAAAAAAACACTTGCAGAGTTCGAATTTGGGCAGTGAGTCGTTTATCATGTGTATTGCTTTAGAGTTATACCATATCAGAAAACTTATTACATAAGAAATAAAAACAAAACAGGGAAATGTGAAAATAACACACAGCACAAAAATACCTTGACTAGAACAATAGAACTCTTTAAAAACTAGAAGTGACATCAAATGCTCTGAAAAAGTATTTTAATGTATTATAAGCAAGCTTGAGCCGTGGAATCCACCTTGTCAGGATCTGCAACTTACTGCAGACTTCTAAAACATATTTGTAACAATTTAGATATCGATAGGTTTGCTTTTCATCGATCCTTGAGAAATTTGAGGAAGTTTTTGCTTTCATGTCCATTTTTGCAGGTATGCACAGGTGTCTGAAATATTTCACCTGACCTTGACCTCATGTTTCCCAGTCTAGCTATTCACATAACATTTTCGTTTTAAGGTCCGTTTCTCAGTAACAAGTGATAGCTCAACTATATTTGGTCTGGGCATTGTTGTTGAATTGTTCCAGTTAAACTGCTTTGATCTAATTACGACCAATAAAAAAATGTGTTTATAATTGTATTATGAGTAGTCCAGATCGTATAGGAGACTTTCTTTTAACCTGATTTAGTTTCTTAGACTAAGAGAAAATCTCGAAACTAGTGTTTTGTCCAGTGTTGTCAGTCTTTTTTCATATATGAAGCTAACAGTTTGTTAACAATGGTATAACGGAAAGGAATAGGTCACAACACAAGTCTCAGCCTGGTTGATATACTCATGAACTAATTATATACGATGAATGAACTCGGAGAGGGACATTTAAAAGTTTCATATGGTAGTTTATAGCCAAGTCAACATTTTGTGGGAACTCAGTGTTATATACTCAACAACAGTTCGTACGATGATGTCCATATATACATAAAGCAGGCAATGCATGTGTAAAATTATGATGTAATAACGCGGTTTGTATCCGTTGATGTATGTTGGATAAATTGGACAGTTTCTTGGGAGTTAATGCATTCCTAAATGACAGAATGATTGTTAAAGTTATGATGGTGTTAAAGATCATTTTTTTTTTGGAATAAGGTAGATGAAGGTGGTGGAATGATTTGAATCACACAGTCATTATCTATTTTTCTTTCATGTTATCTGTAGTGACTACGATGATATACTGAGGCTACGTAATTCTGTTTTATATAGGCCTTATTTATCTGTATCTGATGTGTTTACATGAAGTAGACAAAGTCTGTCCATATATATATTGTTTCAAGTACCAATAGATAAATATTCAATGTCTTCTTCACAAATAATAAAAGATGGTATTGAGTTATAGATTCTAGGTGCTGAAGTTGTATATCCTTTTATTTACTGTAGAGCTTTGCCTTTATATGTTTATTTGTCTTGGTGCTATTGTGTTTCTTTTGGTCATGGCTTTTGACGTGTCTCGGTATTTGAGTCGTATTGGAGGTCTTGAAACAAATATAACATAAACAGACAGGACCAATACATCGGTGGAAAAATACAAGATGGGTACATGATCTGTGCCAAAAAAGTTAAAAAGCAGGGTCAATATGTCGGAATCACTCATTATGAAAGTGAATATGGAGCATTCACAGACAGTGCGTGATATAGCATTGTTATCAATAGATACCTCGAACCTGCGAACATAAATAAAGGCAACAGTAGTATACCGCTGTTCGAAATTCATAAATCGATTGAGAAAAAAACAAATCCGGGTTACAAACTAAAACTGAGGGAAACACATCAAATAAGAGAACTACGACACAACAGAAACACAAAATTAAAATGTAACACACACAGAAACGAACTATAATATAACAATGGCCATTTTCCTGACTTGGTTTAGGACATTTTACGAACAAATGGTTGGTTGAATCTGGTTTTGTGGCTAGCCAAATCTCGCACCTTTATGGCAATGTTAAATACAACACCAAAATGACACCACCACATGACAGGAATGCAGCACAAACAAATGCAAGAACATTCGGGACAGAGAATTACGCAAATAAACAATACAACACAATACACCTCGACAACTAAACAGAAACACGAAGTGAACAAAACACGAGACACAAAAACAAACCATACGATAACAATTGCCATTTTCCCGACTTGGTACAGGACATGTTTTAGAAAAAAATGATGGGTTGAACCTGGTTTTGTGGCTAGCCAAACCTCCCGCTTTTATGGCAATATTAAATATAACATCAAAATGACAACATTACATGACAGGATTACAATACTAATAAATGGGAGAACATATAGGACAGAGAAACATACGAATAATAGCTAACAAAAGGTACCAGGTTTAAAATTTAATACGCAAGACGCGCGTTTCGTCCACACAAAACTAACCAGTGACGCTCAGAACAAAAAAGTTCGACAGCCAAAACAAGTACAAATATGAAGAGCATTGAAGACCAAAAGTTCTAAAAAGTTGTGCCAAATACGGCTAAGGTTATATGTCTGGGATAAGAAAATTCTTAGTATTTAGAATTATTCATACTTTTGCAAACAGTAAATTTATAAAAATGACTATAAAATAGATATACATGATAACACCGAAGTGGTGGCTAACTACAGAATAAAAACGGATACATAAAACAACATAAACCAGCACATAAAAATTCACAGCCGAGTAAGCCAAAGAGATCAACGCCAAAAAAAACAACAAAAAAAAGAAAAAAAAAAAGTGACGTCACATTTGAATATCCGAAATTTCCCCAAAATAGGATAGAATTAGGATAGAATTCAAGATTTGGTTTATAATACTCATATAACATTTATTAATAACAATGAAAATTACAATACTAATTAATATAAAATGTGGTAGTAATTAGATACTTAATAGTATAATCTAGCTATGTCGGTGTTTCTTCTAAAATAAATTGTAAACCAAATATATCGTATAAATTAAGTTGACCCAAACTAAAATCTAATTAATGAACTGGGTGATTGCAATAGGAAGACTGTATGGTGCTTTCCTTTTGATGACAAGATAACTGCTTTCATCATGTTTATCGAAGTCTTGAAACTGCAAATATTATTCAAGGTTATTTATCGTTAGTATCACCAATTTAATTGTCATAGTGTAACGTCATTGACAATTGGGAAACAAATTCACTGTCAATTATATTTTTATACATCATATATATGTTCTTGTTATTATCTTAGAGCTTTATATGCTTTCTAGACACTGTCTTTTGCTGAAAAATGTATGGAAATTTCTAGCTATCGTTTGATATCCTTTGTCGACCGTTGAATTGCATTCTTAATAACATATGTCTTTTTTTACCAATATTCCTTTTATTTATAAGACTGATATTAAGTAAATTATTTGTAAGGTTCGCTTTTTAAATTTATTTAAGTTGTACAGTATTGAACGCAGAATTATCAGATTTGCCTATTAATGCAGTGAAAACCTTCCGACAAATGATTTGCTAACATACCGAAAAAAATTATATTGATTAGATGATAAATTGCAATAGGAAGTCTGTATGGTGCTTTCCTTTCGATGACAAGATAAATATTTGAATTGTGTTTTTAATTATCTACAGTATTTATTCAATGATCATATTTGTGATAATGTAATGTATTCGTTATCTAAAATTTATATAATTGGTGTTTTTTTCTATTTACTAATAGGTGTTTGCAATTAACATTTCTATATGAACAAAATAATTTGATAGAACTATTTCGAGGAATTCCTTGATCAACATAACTAATTTCTTTAACAAAAGCCCCAAAAATAGCAAATCTAAAGTATGAAATAAAAAATCATATTTTCTGAATTGACGTATTAGTCCGTGCTTTGGTACTGATATAATTTTTAACAAACTTTTCTTTGAATTTACCGTTGTTATATTAAGATACTACGGTGACAACTCCCTGGAAAAGTTCACCTTAGATGAATTTGGATATTTTTTAAATTGCTTTTGGTAATACAGGTCTTTTCATACATCCTTGGCATTCAATTGTTAAGGTTTAATATGACAGTTGTTTTCCATTAGTTTGATGTGTATGTGCTTTTGATTTTGCCATGTTATAAGGGACTTTCCGATTTGAATTTTCATTGGAGTTCGATATTTTTGTTATTTTTCTTTTTAAGCGTTCTTTATGAAGGTGAATCTTGAAAATCGCGTTTGTCGATATTCTCATAAACCTGCACTGGGTCAATACCACTAGCTTCTCATGTGTTCTGGTCTTATATATACATCTTTGGCTTTTATATATTAAAAAATGTTTACACAGACAAACCTGTGAACCTGTGAACTAGATGATTAAATTTTAAAAGCATTTTTTCGTTTCAGAAAATAAAACAATTTACCTTAATTTTGAGATTCTTTTTTTTTTTCGTTCCAAAGTAGGTACCATAATAATCAAACGACTGAGTTTCATTGATACGGTACACTCATTTATACAGTTTATATGAACTATTGTTGTACATAATACTTTAACCTACCATTCTCCATGTCAATCAATACAGTTCACTGCAATTATTACAGAGGGAAACATCCCAAACAACTATCCAAATTTAGTTTATTTTGGCACCTTCTGTTGAAACAGTAAAAATATTTACAAAATCCAGTAAAGTTTTAATATTTTTAAAATGCATTTATATTTTATTTATCTAGTTCCTGTCATGTCTAGCTAAAACTTGAAACGTGCAAAAATGTGTCTGTACTCATTGTAAAATGTGTCGTGTGAATACGGCCATATTTACCAAAAGGTTGCAATGAACCCTAAGGTTTGAGGGTTCTTAATGAAGGTCAATCCAGAAAAGCGATTGAGACGTACGAAATTGATAAAATATTAATTTCATTAAAGGCCAAAATGAAAGAAAAAACATAGTAAAACACTGAGATATAAC